CCGGGCGAAACCCCACCCCCGCGTGCGCAGCCCCCGGAAGTGATGTCGCACGCTGGGGGCGGGGCCACGCCATTTGAGGGGAAAACAAAGAGTTTTCCCCTCAAATGGCGTGGCCCCGCCCCCAGCGTGCGACATCACTTCCGGGTGATGTGCACGCAGCGCGCGCGCACTACACGTGCGCACACGTTCCAGACACCAGCCGGGAGCCCCCTGCTCCTGGCCAAAACATATTTGGCAACCCTATCAGGTTGCCAGCTCTAAGCTGAGAACTTCTTGGAGATTTGAGGGTGGAGTCTTGGGAGGGTGAGGTTTGGGGAGGGAAGTTACCTCAGTAGGGTATAATGCCATAGAATACATCCCCCCAAAGCAGCCATATTCTCCAGGGGAACTGATCTCTGTTATTTGTAATTCTGGGTGATCTCCAGTCCTCACCTGGAGATTGGCAGCCCTAATTCACCTGGTGGAAACTACTAGTTTGGAGAATGGAGTCTATGGCATTATACCCCTCTGAGATCCCTCCTCTCCTCAAACCCCACCTTCCCTAGACTCTACCTCCCTAATCTCTAGGAATTTCATAACCTGGAGTTGGCAACCATATCGCCTTTCAACTCAAAAGCCACCATACCTTCATATGCTCCTCTATCTTAAGGTCCTCCCCCTTCCCACTGAGAGCTTCTGCTTCAGAAAACTGGCCCAGTTGTGTGGAGCCAGCCAGTGTTCCCTCTAAGCTGAGTGAGTGTGAGCTAGCTCACAGTTTTTTAGCCTCTTAGCTCAGGAAGGATGGCTCCAGAGCAAACTAATTTATTCAGTAGCCAAATCGCCTGCTCACAACTTTACTGGCAGTAGCTCACAAAGTAAAATTTTTGCTCACAAAATTCCACAGCTTGGAGGGAGCATTGGTGTGAGCCAATGCTTCCTCTAAGCTGTGGAGCTTTGTGAGCAAAATTTCTACTTTGTGAGCTACTGGCAGTAAAGTTGTGAGTGAGCAATTTGGCTGCTGCATAAATTAGTCTGCTCTGGAGCTATCCTTCCTTAGCTAAGACAAAAATGTGTGAGCCGGAGGCTAAAAACTGTGAGCTAGGTCGCACTAACTCAGCTTAGAGGGAACATGGGTGCCAGCCACTGGGCCAGGCCCACTTGCCTGGTAGGGACCCCTCAAGGACTTGAGTAGCACCTCACATTCCCCTGTATCCTCCTTTCTCCCCACACTATTTTCCCTTTCCCTCCACCTGGCAACCCCCATATCCTCTCCCCTTTACCTGCCTCATTCTCTCCTTCTCAGCATTCACCAACCTACTTCTTCTTTGCCTCCCGTCTTCAGCTATATTGATTATTTACTTTATTTATACCCCATCTTTCTCCACAGTGGGGACCAAAGCAGCTTACATTATTCCCCTCTCCCCCTTTTTACCTGCACAACAACTCAGTGAGGTAGGTTAGTCAGAAAGTATGTGACTGATCCAAAATGTGACTTCGGGGCTCGAAAGCGGGGGGAAATCCGCCCCCGGGGGGCATTTGGCAGCCCTACAACCTGAAGGGGAACTGATCTCTGTAGTTGGGAGATGTGACTGATCCATGTGACTGATTCTGGGCACCACACCTTAAAAAGGATATTATAGCTTTGGAAAAAGTGCAGAAAAGGGCAACTCGAATGATAAAAGGGTTGGAACACTTTCCCTATGAGGAAAGGTTAAAGCGCTTAGGGCTCTTTAGCTTGGAGAAAAGACGACTGAGGGGTGACATGATCGAGGTTTATAAGATTATGCATGGGAAAGAGCAGGTAAAGAAAGAGGTACTTTTCTCCCTTTCTCACAATACAAGAACTCATGGGCACTCCATGAAACTGCAGAGCGGTCGGGTTAGAACGGATAAAAGGAAGTACTTCTTCACCCAAAGAGTGATTAACACATGGAATTCACTGCCACAGGAAGTGGTGGGTGCTACAAGCATGGACGGCTTCAAAAGGGAATTAGATAAGCATATGGAGCAGAGGTCCATCAGTGGCTATTAGCCACAAGGTATAGCTAGGGGCTCTGGGGCAAGTGATGCTCTGTCTTCTGGGTGCTTGGGGGGGGGGTCAACAGTGGGAGGGCTTCTAATGTCCTGGCCCCACTGCTGGACCTCCTGATGGCACTGGTACTTCTGGCCACTGTGTGACACAGAGTGTTGGACTGGATGGGCCTTTGGCCTGATCCAACATTGGCGTCTCTTATGTTCTTATGTTCTTAAAATCACCCAGTGAGTTTCCACAGCCAGATGGGGATTTGAATCTGAGTCTCCCGGATCCTATTCTGAAGATCTAACTGCTACACCCATATTAGCTTTCACAGGATGGCTGCTGTTGAACAACAGCAAGCAGCCAGGCCTAGTTGATGCATGCAAGTTGATTGGGATCAAGTCACGCAGACGTTGCTTCCAGGCCCAAGGCTCTCAACCTCCAGGTGGAACCTGGAGACCTCCCAGAATTACAACTGAACTCCAAACAACAGAGATCTGTACCCCTGGAGAAAATGGCTGTTTGGAAGGCGGACTCTATGGCATTATATTCGTCTGAAATTTTTATCCTCCCCAATCCTGCCCTCCTCAGACTGTACCACAAAATCTCTAGGAGTTTCCCAGCCTGGAGCTGGCAACCCTAGTCAGACCTGGTCTCAATAAGTCCTCCCTCAAAGGCCCAAACAGGCCTAGAAAGGGCCTTGCTCCCCCCCCCTTCCTTTTTACTGACAGAACCCAGTCTGGAATACTGTAGTTGCCTAGCAGCAGCCACTGAGGGAATCTGTTTTTTTGATTTTTGATCAAAAAATATTTTGATTTTTTAAAAGTGCCCCGTGAGGTTTTTTTTAGATTTCACATTTTTCTGCAAACCTGGGGCACTTTTCAGGTTTGTAAAAACATCTGTCTTGCCTGTTCACAGCTCTAGTCACTGGATTTAAGTATCCAAATATTGGCTGACAATAACATTTGACACACACAGCATTTGGATGTTTCTCTCTTAGGAAATAAAAACTTTTTGCTCCTTCTTTGTCTGCCCAGCATTAAATATGTTTATTCTCCTCTCAAGTTGTACAAGAAGGTAATCTTCCAAGTTATTGGAGGTTAAAGCTTGGGGGACACTCTTCTAAGGATGAAGGCTGTTGATAGTAGCACATGTTAGCAAGGGGGAAAATATTGTTTAGTATGATTGTTACTGGATTGTTCTCACACAAACAATCATAGAAAATATCAGCCACTACCGAGCTGATGTGCTTCTGTGTCTCCTTGACACGTTTTACTTCAGGAAGATCAGGAATGGGAGTTCCTTTTCCAATGTTTTCCTTGTACTTAATCTACAACGTTGTACACAATTAGAAAAACAAAACGAAACAGTAAAGACTTACATTTATGTACATGACATACATATCCACCTCACAGTAGAGAACAGAGAAAACAAATGTCAGAAGTTTGCACAGTTGGCATGCACCCATGTGAAAATGTTTCTCTTCAACACTGCCATCTACAGAAAATTAAAAAACAACCCACCCCCCAGAAATTCAAAACTTTAAATTCTAAGTGTGGGGGGGGTGTGGAGCGAGAAGGATCATTGAAATGGTTTGCATCCATTTCAGCCTGTTAGGGATTGCTGAAATACTGAAATATAAAGGGAACCTTTAAATGCATTCTCAGTTGACATGCTGACAGGCCCGTAGCTAGCATGGGGCCCACGGGGCCTGGCCCCCTTGTGTTTCTTCTGGGCCCCCTCCCTATGGGGCTGCCCCCAAAGTGCTCCAACTTACCACCTGCACTGTACTTCCATTTAATTAGCTGGCGCCCCCCCCAAGGCCCCCTCCCAAAGAATTCCCTAGCTACGGGGCTGCATGCTGTGGTCTCTTTAAATGCCTTCTCCAAGACCTGCTGCTGGTGCCGGGGTGTCTACTGACACAAACCACACAAACCCACTTGGGAGGTTTGTGGGAGCTCATGAGGGTGGGATGGCATGAACTGAGGTTTGCGAACCACGAACTAGGCGCAGTTCGTGACAAATTTCAGTTCATAATTTGGTTCGTAACCATCCCTAGTCAACACTTCAACTGCTATGGTCATTGCCAGCATTAGGTGTCTTGCAGTGGTGTTGGAACCTCATATGAAACAGGTTGCCAGTCCACTATAGGGAAGTGTGAATAAATCAGCTTAAATTCAAGTACTTTCCCTCAAACAGTCTTAAAAGATCCTGGCTATGGTCAAAAGCCAGAGCTCTGTAAGCTCACATGCACACAATGAATTTTTCATATACAAGAGAATGCTCTGTGTGGTCAATTGGGAATCTACCATGAAACACAGAGCTTGGCCTAACTTAAAAGAAAATGAAATAGTCACTGTATGCATACAAATCCATGTGAGCCCTGGAACCAATAGTTTTATGGATTTTTTTCCTATTGTGACAACATTTCATGACTAATTCCCATTGCAATCATTGGCACTTGCAGCCTATCTTATGCATGAATACTCAAAAGTAAGTCCCACTGCATTCAATGGGAGTTATTTCCAAGTAAGTATACATATAGTGTTACATCCATGAATCATAACTAACATTAGATGATTAGATGGATTTGTGCCAGAGCCTATTGGAACTATTCCACTCTGTGTACGTGTGTGTGTATGTGTATAAATATTCTATATTCGTGTTGTTATTGTTAAATGAAACTAAGAAAAGGGAAATAAACCCACAAAATCTCAAAGAACTCAAATATATAATATGAGCACTTACTCTCATAAATCATATATATTTTAAAGGCATCCTGTTCTATCCAACATGGGTGAAGGTACATATACAACATTCAGTAAAACATTGCTTTTTTACATTAAAAAAACAGGACATTGTGTAAAATACAATCAAAAACAAATTTTTCTTCTGAAAAATTCTACCTCATACATTGTGGGAAGGAAAGTAAGAGGGAACAGGAAAAAAGAAGAGAATGTGTGAGAGAAATGAATTCTTTAAACTGCTGTCAGTGTTAAATATTGTAACTGTAACTACATTTATTATTGTGAACTCATCTGGAACATCATTATAAACTCAATAATATTTGATATATTTCAGAAAATGTTTCAAATTAGTTGATAATTAGAAAATGTTAATGTTAGATTATTCTTTGTGTGAATAATTTATTTATGAAGATAAAAACAGAAGAAAGAACTAGTTAGCAAATTATTTTTTGGTGAATGATGATAAAACCATTGATTGTTTTCAAGTTAATGGAGAATTTCACATGTTATTCTGCAATTGTTGTTAGGATTATTTAAAGCTGGAAGTTTAATAAGTTGGAACAGCACAGGTGTTAAAAATCTGATGGGTTTTGTACCGTGCTTATTGCATCCTGGGTTTGTTTTATTCGCTGCATCTCAGGCGTCTTTTCTATAGCTGTTCCTGTTCCAATATCTTCTTTATATAAAATCTTAACCAAGACAACAAAATTGAGCATAGAAAACAACACAGTCACTTGATAGAGAAAGTCTAAAAAACAGTGGAGACTCAAGAAAGAAAGATCTCAGGTTAGCTTCCTGATCATAAATGTATTGACATGGAATAACTCCCACTGATTTCAGAGCAGCTTGTGCCCAAGTAAATTATCCTTAATCAATGAAAAATCCAAACTATACACTCATTTCAGTGGTGTTTTTGAAGACAAAGCCAATCTAGAGAAGCAGAAACTAAATCAAAAGAAAGGAGGCATTCTGACTTTGTCCACCTTGGTGTTTTTGACAATTTCTGTTTCTAGTTTGATTCAGAGAGCCCCCGGGGTATGTCAAAAGTGCCCACAGGAGAGTAGTGACAACTTTGAACAGTACTGAATGCTACTCTGGAGGATCTTCAGACTCCAATAGTGGCTTTTTAAAAGCATTATGCAAGAGAAGAGGTACCTCCAATGCTCTGGTTCAGGTACACAAGACTCAGCCTATTTGTAGAAGTTAAATTTGTAATGGCACCGATTTTAACTCAGAAACATTTCATGCGCCTCTCCACTGTTTTGGTTAGACAACCAGAGGTAAACATAAGCAGTAAAGACATCACATAATAGCAGCAATACTTAGCATCATTTTGAGACTTCATGCTCAAAACATTCTAAACAGGAACAGAACAAGAACATATTACATGTAGCTGCTAAGTAAATAAGAGCAAACCTGTTATGTTACGAGCACATAGCCTGCAAAGCCACATGGACAAAATCAGGCCAAACATTTCTAAATACTTTTGTCAGATACGCTGAGCTTAATCTACTGGGTAACAAAAAGGTTGCTGAACAGGAAAGGAATCAGAGTGCAACTGTTCAAGCAGCCATGTATGAAAGAGACAGCAACAGCTCTGCCTGATGAGTATTACATTAGTAAAAAAGACGAAGGCTCTGATTCTGCCAGTGGTGTACCTAGCGTATTTAACACCTGGAGTGCCAGGGCAGGGCACACAGTGAAGAACAAAGCATTGGGGCTGTAAGACTGGAGGGGATATCTGTGGAAGGAGTAGGGGGGGGAGAGAGAAAACTTTGATTGGATTTTTTTCCCCAAAGGCAGGGAATGTGCTTGAGATTTGGTAAGGGACACCAATTGAGCACCCAGTGCAGAGAGGTGGCTGGGGTGTCTCCCAAGCCCCATCCAACGCCTGGAGTTTCCTCAAAGAAGAGTGGGCTTTAAAAAAAGAATATCAAGGGGTGGGGAAACCAGTTGGAAAGAGAATAGACTGTTTGTGTTTTCTAAACAGGCAAGTTCCTGGTGCAGGGAAAAGGGTTGGGTTTGGGGGGCCTTGATGCCCCTACTCCCTCACTACGGAGCAGGCACCCCCCCTACTGCCTGCACCTGGGGCAGATCGCACCTACTGCCCTGCCCTTGGTATGCCACTGATTTCCACACATTCTTATATATGAGTATACAAGGAGCTTCAACAGTATCAAGGGAGATTCTTAAGTGGAGGTCTTTGCAAAATTAGGACAAAAAAATGATGATGACAGAACTGTGTGAAAAATCGTGGGGCAAACTAAAGTTACCGTGCTGAAGTTCTTCTGGTTTTCTTTAACTCGCAGTATTTCTGGTGTTTCGTTTACCACAGTGACTTTTCCTTTGCTATGCTGCATATCTTGTTGATACTGAAGCTGTTAAAAAAAAAAGTATCTGCTTAGTTTATTGTTCTTGCAGAGGTATTCAGACTTCCTTGTGTGGGATTTGACTTTTTGAAAAGATACAATGGTTAGTGATAGTAAAGTTTCTCTTCCTACAAGTGTCTTTAGTTTCAACAGAATATGGTATGGAGCTACAAGAATTCAACAGGATTTGGGCATATCTAAGGTTTTCCTGAAGAGGAGTTACTGGGTTGTTTCTAATCCTTGTTCTCTGACAGTGCAGCACATGGAAGACTTCTGGCTACAAGAAGAAGAAGAAGAGAAGAGATTGGATTTATACCCCGCCCTTCACTTGGAGTCTCAGAGCGGCTTACAAACTCCTTTCCCTTCCCCTCCCCACAACAGACACCCTGTGAGGTGGGTGGGGCTGAGAGAACTCTGATACAAACTGCTCTTTTTCAAGGACAGCTGTGCCAGAGCTTGTGACTGACCCAAGGTCACATCAACAGGTGCAAGTGGAGGAGTGGGGACTCAAACCTGGTTCTCCCAGATTAGAGTCCACACACTTAACCACTACACCAAACAGTATCAACAACAGCTAATCCAGTCATTGATCTGCTTACATTTTTACACATTACTTCACAGGCTTACACATGCAAAGCAAATTAATCTCAAAATATTCTTTGCTTGCTGTGCTATAGTATTTTTTTTTAAGCCATATATATACCATGCTGAAGTTCTTTTGGTTCTCCCGGACTCTCTGCATTTCTGGTGTATCTAGGACAGGCACATAATACGACATGGTTCTCTCTGCCTCTTCCTTGTACTTTTTCTGTTATGAAAAAGGGGAAAAATATTTACTGCTATGGTAATAAAGGATTAACCAGAGAAAAGAGGATTTTTAGAATGCAAATGCTCCTCATCTGAGGAATAGACCAAACAACCATACCTACCTTTTCTGGGATGTCTACCTTGTGTGAAAGGACTACCTCATGACAAAAACAACTGTTAATGAGCAGAAGGAATATGACACACTGACTGGCTTTACTATAACTCGGTACAGTAATACACTCGGTGCTATAACTCGGTACAGTTCAGGGAATTTTTCAATATAAGTCAACATGAGTCATTACCTGACTTGAAAGGTTCTTCACTTGATGAGCATGAATGATCTCTGGTGTGTCAACAACAGTAGTATAGTTGGCTTTTTCCATTTCTGCAGATTGCTTATATTTAATCTGTGATGGAAAGGTCACAAGTAAGTATGCATAACAACCACGTTTACAAATGCAGGTTCCCTTGATTCCAGATTGATGACCCACTGTTGACACTGACCTGGCTAGCAATGTCCATGGCATTCTTTGCTCTCATAAAATCTGGTGTTCCCAATGCAAGAGCTGTCATACCTCTTCCTTTGATTTCCAGTTCCAGACCTTTCTTGTATTCTTTCTGTGGTTAAAAAGCAAGAAACAGACGAAACATTAAAATGGGATGGTGTTTACCAAGAGTGAAATATGTTTAGACATCTACCTTGATTCACAAGCGTCATAAGAGGCCCCAGAACAGTTTCACCCTGTGGTGCACCTTACCTCATTCAAGATATGGGTTGCATTCTTTGCTCTGAGTAAATCTGGTGTCTCTTCCAAAATAGTTAGGCCTTTACCTTTGACACCTTCTTCCAAATCTCTCCTGTATTCTTTCTATGAAGGAAGAGTAGAAAGAAGAAAAACTGAAAAAACAAACAAGCAAACAAACAAACAAAATCTGATTATCTTAAAGCAACAAACAGAGTTATGGTGTTCAAGGGTCTACCAGTTATCAAGAAACAAAATGAAGACAAGTCAGCATACTTTGATTAAGAAAAGAACATATACAATGGAACAACCATGTTGACTTGGCCAACAGGAAAACCAACATTAATGCCACTACAGTGAACAATTAGTGACTTTGTACATTAACAAACTAGAACAAGCCATAAATACGACAGAAATCATGCTTAAGGTAAATGTTTAAGCCTGAAAAGGAAAGTAGTGAGGGGGCTGCTTTGGTGAGAATAATTAGTGAAAACTAGTTGGGTTGCTATTAGCAAAAGACAACAGAGTAGCCGCGCTACCTCGCTTGCTATTTTGGTGGCATATTTGACATGCAATAAAGATGGTGTAATCTCCAGGCCGGTAAGGTTTCTGCCTTTAATGGACTCTTCAAAGTCTTTTTTATATTCTTTCTAATAGGAGTTGGAAGAAAACAAAAAGAAGGAAAATAGTGTTTATTTCGAAACAATGTGAAAAATACACCAGGAAGAAGAACAGATTCTAGTTATTCTACAGTGCTGCTAGAATGTGTTAGCTGGTTACACATCCAGGCTTGATCTCAGTGATGTTTGTAAGGGTTTTGCCTTATTGTAAGTTACATAAAATATTTATACAGGTTTTGCCTTATTGTAAGTTACATAAAATATTTATGTAACAATGTAATAATGAATATAATTACAGAGGTTCAGCTTGCTATAAGGTTATGTTACTTTAAGAATGTGAAGCTCATCATGCAGCTGCATGGAATTAACTAGTAGAATTTTTATAAAATCTGGATTAATGTAGAGAGCATTTGCCAGCCACCAAATGAAGGCTTCTAGCCAGGTGAAAAAAGGACTGGTTTGCTACTACTATAATTAATAGTGCTTAGGAGAGCATAGCCAACAAAATCCAGGAGGCTGTTTTTGAATTTATTGGCTTGCTCCACATATAGACACTTGTTGAATGCAGAAGTAAGTTTACTAAGTATTAAATCATTACAAAATGAATAACTTTTTCATGCAACTGCATATGAATTTTCATTTACTTGGTTTATTCCAGGATATTATGAAGGCTATTACAATATTGAGCTGGATTAAGAAGCTGACCTCTCCTAACAACATAGCCTTACATTTGAGGAAGACTGTAAAAGTTGAAATAAGTTCATACCGGGTACTTATCATGTTGGACTATATTGGACTTGTAATTTACAATATTGTACAAATAAGGATGTTGACAAAATCTTTTGCATTTTATAAAGTCTAACAAATTATGTAAATTTTCTTAATAATGTTCTCATCACAGGATTTTGTGTGTGTTTTCCTATTGGACACCTGTGACCCCTCTTGCTTTGTATTATTGTAAGTGGTGGCATTTTAGCCATGTGACAGTAATAAGGCTGGCTAAGCCTTTGGACAAACAAGATGTTCACACCATGTGTCAATTTTTCAATAAGCTGCCATATTTTTGCCATTGCTATCATTTAGTGCTCCTTGACTGTTACTGTAGGAAGAACAAATATGTTACAGGATATGAATTCACACCACATACAGAAAAAAAAAATACCTTTCTATCCTCCCATACACCATTGGAATTTTTTTTTGGGGGGGAGGGGTTGAAACTGAAGAAACAGAATGGTCATCCATGTCATCCAAAAATATGGGTGGGCCTTTAATAAGCACTATTAGTTTAGTTTAGAGAAATATTGACTCTGAATTAGTATTGACTTGGAAGGAACAATTTGGGTTTGGCATCTTTTCCTGGGCACCTACTGGATTGTGAAATAGCAGATAAAAGTGCAATTTAAACGCACTGGAAACACATGTAACCATGAAATACATGACAACTTTTCTTCATTTTCTTAAGAGAAAAGGGAGACGTCTCTTGGCTACCAAAAGAAAATCCAGGGCTCAGTTGCCTCCATGTCCACTGTACCCATGCACTGTGGGGTTATTGTAAATAAGGGCACAAGAGCTACAAAAAGCAAGGGCAGTGGGGGTTTGTGGAACTCCTGGAGAGGAGCATATCATGACACATTTACGTTACTCCTTGTACCATTTGGCCAGGAACAAATTCACACTAATACCACCATTCTAAACAGAATTAAACCCTTTGAAGTCCACTGAAGTAATAGGCTTAGAAGGATATAACTCTGCTACGAATGGCACTGTTAGGCTTGTGGAGCTGTATTGATTGAGTGCATTGTCTCAGTACTTTGGACTTGATATGCATAGTATTTGCCTCAAAATGTTCACCAATGTTCTGAGTAGTTGTGTAATGCAAAGAGGAACTCAAACAACTGATGGAGCCACCCAAACACTATGACCAAATACCTTATACAAGTGTATTTCACCCTGTATAAGTTTCACTTTGGGACAGAACAATACCAAAACTTCAAACAGGCCATGAAATAAACTGTGTGAAATAACAGAATGACAGGCCATTGGAGGAAAATACTATAACACTGAAGACAAACAAGGATCGATAGAGGAGGAATCTAGTGGAAATTGTTTCCTACTACTTTTACCTACCAAAGAAATCTTCGAGCAGGCTGCAGGAAAGCAACAAATTGTAGTTGTTTTCATGAACTAGCAAGCATAAATGATCTTAATTCCACAAATTCTAAGTGAAATAATTGTTCAGTCTTCATAGCCCTACTTCCAAACTTCTTTTATTTGTCAGCTTCTAATTTGAAGTCCATGCCTAATAAAATATGCTGTACGGTAACACTATAAGCAAACAGTTGGATCCAAAGCAAAAGCACTGGAGTTCTATACCTCCCCACTCCTGCTGTAGCCCACTGAGTCTTCAGGAATAGAAAGGGGAGAGGGGGGGGATCTGCAGTGGGAGGAGTGAAAACCAAGGCAAATTATGATGAGCTATAGGAGGATCTCTCTACACTGGGTGAGTTGGCAAACACTAGGGTTGTCAGCATCAGGTTTGGAAATTCCTGGAGATTTGGGGGTGGAGCATGGGGAGGCAGGGTTTTAGGAGGGGATGGACTAAAGCTGGGCAATAATCCTATTGTGTCCCCCCCCCCCAAAGCAGTCGTTTCCTCCAGGAGAACAGATCTCTGTAGTCTGGAGATCAGCTGTGAGTCCAGGAGATCTCCAGGGCCCACATGGAGTTTGGCATCCCTAGCAACAATGTGACAAATGAAATCCACTGTGGGTGTAAGCAATGTTCCCTCTAAGCTGTGGAGTCTTGTGAGCAAAAAATCTACTTTGTGAGCTACTGGCGTTAAAGTTGTGAGCGAGCGATTCGGCTACTGCATAAATTAGTTTGCTCTGGAGCCATCCTTCCTGAGCTAGGACAAAAATGTGTGAGCTGGAGGCTAAAAAACTGTGAGCCAACTCACACTAACTCAGCTTAGAGGGAACACTGGGTGTAAGATGATAACATCCTGGAACAAAAATAAAATCCTAATTTTAAATACATGCTGGTGGAGTCTGAACAGGCTAAGACTGAAGAGACCTTGGGGTGAAAATATCCACCCAGTATACAGCAGTGTTGGACAAGGCAGAATCCATGCTAGGAATGATTAGGAAAGGAACTGAAAATAAAACAGCCAATATTGTAATGCTCTGGTATAAAGCTGATTTGGAATACTATGTGCAGTGTTCCCTCTAAGCTGTGTGCATGAGTGGCCACTCATTTACACAGGAAGCCCCGCTCAGCAGCAGTCTGGAGCCGCATGGGGTCTTGCACTGCCCATTGACCATTTGAAGATTACAGCAGTTACATTCTGCTCAGGATGTGAACTGCTCTGCTTGGGGGGTGGGAAATTAGAGGGAATATTGACTGTGCACAGTTCTGGTCATTGTATCTCAGAAAGCAGAGCTTGGAAAAGCACAAAAGAGGGCGACCAAGATGATTTCCTATCAGAAAAGGCTGGAGGGTCTGGAACTTTTCAGTCTAGAAAAAAAGACAGACAGGGGGAGAGTGACAGAGGTTTATCAAATTATATGTGAGGTGGAAAACGTGGGTGGAGGGAATTTTTTCACCCTCTTGCATAATAGTAGAACTCAGGGGTATCTGATTAAATTGTTGGGAAATAAATTCACGGCAAAAAAGAGTCTCGAAGAGTCGGACTCGACTGTGTGACTGAACGACAACAATTAAACTGTGAAATTCACTGCCAAGGAGGTAGTGATGGCCGTGACCATAGATGGCTTTAAAAAGGGTTCTTAGCCATAGTTACTGAAGGAAGCCTCCGTGTACAGAGGTAGCAGACCTCTGACTATCAGTGCTAGGAGGCAGCATGAGGAAAGGCCTCAACCTCTGTGCCCTGGTTTGCTGTCCCTCAAGGGCCACTGGTTGGCTGCTGTGTGGAAACAGGATGCTGGACTAGATGGACCCCTGGTCTGATACAGCAGGCATTTTTTAAGCAAGTAAGCATGAAAACTGCTCTCCTCTTCACTGCTAACAGAAGAAACTGCTGTTCCACTGACAGAATGGCACGTTTGGATCCAACCCTTCAAAGATATTTCAATGAAGATAGATCCCTATCAGTAATCATTTAAATCTGACTGTTAACATAAAGCCAAGATAAGAATTATGTTCACATTGTCCCAAATCAAGCCAGTCTGCTGCCCATGATAAAGCAACTTACGTCACTCTGCATGTGCTGCGCTTCCTTAGCAGTGATGTATGTTGGTGTTTCAAAATCCAGCATGGCTTTCCCTCTTTCTTTTTCATATTTTTCCTTATATTTCACCTGTCAAGAGGGAGTCAAGTGTTACCCACTGTTCTACCACAGTTTATAAACAGAACAGAAAGGATTCCTTAGAAAAAGTAGGTCTCCTTCTCACTCCTGCGATTCCATTCCACACAGTTTATAAAGCCAGCCATAACAAACTACAGATTTCAGTGCAGGGATACTTGGAGAAAAAAAAATGGAACTGGATTTAAGGCAAATTTTGTTTTGAATTCATAAAGAAATTGGTTGCAGCAACTAATTACAGAACTTACACTGTAATTCTAAGGGGGGAGGACGAAAGCACTCAGGGAGCCAACTGACCTATGTGTCGGCGTAAGTTTGAGATACGCCATCATAAGGGCCACTTATAATGGCACAGACCCCCCAGCACCGCTCCATCACTCATCGGCGCCAGCAGCAGGCCACAGTGGCTACCCATTGTCTCAGCTGAGGCGTAGGCCCCTGCACTGGCATGGTTGTGGGCAGTTTTGAGGAGTGGCCAGAGCTAGTTGGTTTCCTGAGCCCTTTCAGCCTAGGAATGCCCCCTGCCAGAGGGGGAAAGCAAAAAACATGGTGCTGCCCATAGCCACCAATTGAACATGAAAATCAAGTCTTCTCCCTGCTGCGGCGGCCTCATCAATTAGCCTCAGAGGAGCTCAGGATGCCAACTGCATGCTTGGCCAACCACCGCTCTCCCCACAGCAGCCAAGACCCCTAATTGTGCCCCCCCCATCCTACATAAACATCAGCAAGGATATCTTACAACTCAGTAGTTAGGGCACGTGGCACAGGACTCTGTTTTGTAGCTCCCTGCCATGCAGTTCAGTAAAGTCTGTGTTGTGCCACAGTAAAGTCTGTGTTGTGCCACAGCTGTGTTTCTGTCTGTTTGGTTTTTAGACTACATGACTGGAGCTCCAACCCCCTCCCTGCCCCAATCCCTCCTCAGGCTGCTTTGTGAAGAGGGGAGGTTCAAGCTTGAGGCTAGATCTGGGAGACCCAGATTCCATTCCCCACTTGTACCATGGAAGCTAGGTGGGTGGCATTGGGTCAAATGCACACCCTCAGCTTAACCAACCTCATGGGGTTGTTGTGAATGTGAAATGGAGAAGAGGGGAATGATGTCAGCCACCTGGGGGAGAAAGGTCAGAAAGAAATTGAGTGAATGGACAACATTCATAACTGTGTTCCCACTCCAGGAAGGGAGGCTTCTGCAACCCAGGTGGAAGACATCTGTGAAGGTAACACTGAGGGGGCGGGGATCATAATGGTCCCTGGAGTCAACGGCTGTGGGGGAGCCAATGCAGTGGGTGGACTTGATGTATTTGGAGGGGGTGGGGTATGCCCATTGGACCTACTGGCATGCAGAAACATCAAATGACTTGCATGGTTTCCATTGCCAGATGTTACAACTACATCACTACACATGGAAGTAATGATGCATGCAGAATGGATCTGGAATGACAGTCTGTAGGCACTGATTGCTCTGGGACAGGAATCACAGAGCCCAGAGTGAAATGATAGTCATTCCAGTCCAAAACCACCTCTGCTCCACCGAGGGAAGTGGGGGATGTGATGGTATGCCCCCACATCTCAGTCCACTCTGGTGGCCGCCTCTCCTGCTCCACCACTGGCAGAGGCAGTGCAGGAGTGTCCTCAGCAATGGACAGCTCAAGCCCCTTCCCAACTATCAGGTGTCTGGATCTGATGACAGGAATTAGCCCCTTTAAGGAGGCAGGATGTGCTCCTGAAAACGAGTGGAACTCCTGTGGCCCACCCCTCTCCGCCCCCTGACTGAGATGGATGCTGGACTCCATACCCTTGCCACATGCATAAATTATGGCCTTAGGGAATAGACTAGCACTGCTGTGGTCACGTGGCAGCCAGCTGCCACAGTGCAGGCATGCCTCAGGATTGCTCTGTTAATCTGGTATAGGCAGTTATACTTTATCAGCAAGTAACGATAGACATAAGCTGAAACTAAATAGGTTGAATGTTTTGGTTTACTTCAAGGAAATCTAACATTTAATTCTGTGAACCAGTTTTTAATTTTAAGCTGAGAATTCTAAGCACCTCTACACAACTACAGTATCCTGTTTTCTCATTTGTAGTACAGGTGCACACTAAGCAAAGTGCATAGTTTATTCAAAAGGGAGTTTAATTCTCAGATAGCCTTAATCACCTTTTGTTAATTACAGTTCTCACTGTCTACAGATCCTAATTCTATTGTCAGATGGACTATTGTACTCTGCTCAGTATTCTGAGGTAAAAATGATAAAGAAAAACGGTGGGAGAAAGCGCATCGGAACCGGGAGAGAAAACTGAAGACTACTTGGAAGCGGTTGACAGGTAAAACGCTTCAGCCCCGTTTCCTAAACAGGACAGAAGCGTTTGTGTCTGAAATTACAAATATATTCCAGTAGGGAATCGGTTCTAAAATGGTTCTGTCTGAAATGACAGACCAGAAACCGTTTGGGAACTGTTCCTCTTCCGGATTATATCGTCTGTCTGAAATTCCTCATTGTGTAACTGAACATATGAAGCAAAGAGTCCATCAAAGGTGAATAATACAAAAAATTGGTTCTTTCTGGAGGTCCTTCTTGGGGGTTATTTCCCTTGGGCGCACGATGGGCCCTGTAAGGACAACATCAGCAGGTATGCCAGCAGGGGAAGAGAGGAGGCTTTAACATGATGTGTACCTAATGTCTCTCTTAGGCCCTCCTCCATCAACAGATGAGCTAGAAGTGTTACCTATGAGCCCACTCCCATACAGGAATCTCTATAATTACCCCCAAAATCCTCTGGTTTTAAAAGAGAAAAAACAGGGCCCCTGAGACTGGCAGGAAGTCCTCTGGATACTCTCAGCTGGGAGCAGCCCAACTGTCTGAAAGTTCCAAGAAGCAGATTGATCAAAGGCCTTTGGTCCAAGCCTCCAGAGCTGCCTCACAGAGTTCCCATTAGAATACAACCCTCTCCAGCCATTCAATCACAAGCCCAGGAAAGGCAGTCAAGCTACTGCTTGGCCCTTGTCAGACCAACCTTAGCTGGCCCACCGCCAAAGTAATTCACTCATCCCATTTAAATGGTTCTGCTGCCCCTGTTGCCTCACCTATCATGCCCATATTTGGACCTCCACTTCCCCCTAGATACACATTTCCCCCTGCTCCCTCAGAAATGTGAATAATCCAATAAGGATTTAGAATTATCACCCTAGACCAGTCTCTGCTGCAGCTGAACTTTACATGGGATTTGGCCAATAATACAAGTCCCCCACCAAAGCCCAGGCAATTCTAAACACATAAAAGGGATGTCCCAGACCCACAGCCTCTGCCACTGCTGAGATCATGGCCATTGGTACCATCATCTGAAATCATGGTCATTGGTATCATCATCCACTGCTGAGATAAGACACCCCATCCCAGTAGTTAGCTGTGTTCCCAGAGCAGCCTTCCTTGCCCTCAGACCTAACCATATTAGAGAGTCTTCTTCAGGACAGGCAACATAATATTTTTTTCTCTTTCCCTTTCCACGTAGGCATCTCCAATATATTATACACGAGGTTTATTTGGCTACCATATACAACTTAGTGGTGCAATATTGCCTTTTTGCTTTCTCTTGATTCAAATTTCAGTTCTGTATCTTGATAGGGGAATAAAGATCATAAAGTGTTTCCTGTTACTTTTTCCTGTTACTTGAGATCCATGTATACAATGGACTGGACACTCCCAGGTATTTGCCCCACAGTATGTTTATGGCTCTACACATGTACAAGATTCTCCACATGTAAAAGGCCAGACACAGGAAACAATTTGGCTAACAAGATCCAAGTTTCACCCGAAAACATCATTTTTGTATTGTTTTTAATCTATAGTAAACTGCCAGCTCCAATTTGAATGAAAGGTTGGCTATAAGTCCTTAAGATAAACAAGAATTAGAAATACCAAAAATGAGAAATACTGATCATCTGACTTACTTGGCTCTGAAGTTCTGAAGCCTCCTTTAGATGGACCTGTTCAAGGTTATCTGGAACCACATGGTAGTGACCCTTACTCTTCTCATACTGCTTCTTGTACTGATACTAAAGGGAAAGTGTCAGAACTACCTCAATAATAAAAATCCTAACTAGATCAGGTTTATATTTTCAGCTAATCCAAACATTTCAACAGAAAGGTAGAAATCAGAAATACAAACAAAAACAAAAGAAAATGAAAATGAAAAATAAAACCCCAGCCAGAAAGGTATTGTAATGCTGAATCATATAAAAAGGGCCAAGATTTTGCATTAAACAAGACAAAAACAAAAACAAAAAAACCATTCTCAAATCATTTCCTTTAAAAGAGAAAAGTGAGTATAAAACAGGGGTAAAACTGGGGGCATTACTTATATCTTCTTGCGTTAGTGCATTCCTCATTCTGTACAAAACAGCCGTATGATGAGAAACTCAAGAAAAAGCAGAATAATTTTAAAAGGTTTATTTCAGTTACCAAAGAAATTTTCAAAGAGTAGTAAAAGTAAAAAGAAAATTGTGAAAACCAGTGAAAAGTGGTATTTCTGTTAGTCAAAACCACAAGTTAAAAATGTACAAAAAATGCCATTAAGATTTGGTTAGAAGTTTTACAACATTCAGAATTCTACAGCTAATAGAAAATTATTGAGAGACTAAAGGTATTAATGTAACTAATCTACGTGGAGTAGAATCATTAGGCAGCAGAGAAGAGATCACTACCAGGTGATTTCCTAGGAACAGTCAAGGAGGAAAGCTGTTACAGAAGTTGTTAGCAGAGATTATCTCAGAAAGGTAGAATGACATAATGTTAAATAGATGTAGACTTCTCTGGGGGACTTACGGAACTGGCAAGCTGGCTGGTGCTCAGGACATGATTCATCGAGAGGGATTCAGACATATCTGTCACTGGCTTGTGAAGTTTCTTGAGGTCTGCCTTATATTTAATCTGCAAGGAGAAAAGAAAAATCAATTTGTGTAAACAGTACTGAGAACTCTCACCTGCGGGGGACATAAAGCAAGCCCCCAGGTAATTCAACTTTCCATCAAAGCTATGCTGAAAGGTTAATGAATCAGACATACCTCACTAGCAATGTGATGAGCATCTTGTAGGGTCTTGTAAATCTTGCTGTCCTTCAGGTCATAATGTGGCTTCTTTCCCTTCTCCTTGTCAAAGTTCTCTTTGTATTTTATCTAAATTCCAAGAGAACAAGCATTATTACAACCTGTCCTGGATTTTTTTTGCTTAACTGGTGCCAAAAGAGAGGCCCACAAAAGGGAGCTTGACTACAAGCAGGTTGGCTCAAAGATGCAGGCCATGAGTACAGAAGATAGGACCAAAGGTACTGCTGGAAAGAAATCATCACACACCTCATTGACAAGGTGACATTTGCCTCTTTCATTCATGTTTATGTTTCAGCTCCATGCTTGAAGTATACAAATATTCAATTAATGACAATTTAGAGAAAGCTGGCATGGCTTTGACAAACCATAGCTGCTAAAACACCTGAAATAAATTATGGTTGTGCACATTTTTTTAAAATTGCCTAAAATTATCATTAACTTTCTGTTATAAGAAATCAGGCAATAGAAAAATCTTCATAATTGCTCACTTTTTATATTATTGCTTCCTATACTCACTAGTATTGAAACAATCCAAAATCAGTTTTTAAGGCGCATCTTGGCTCTTCCTAAGGGAACACCAGTTGCCCTGATGAGAGCAGAAACTGGTCTGCCTTCTCTAAGGGCGCGAGTGTATCTTGCGATTCTAAAATCTTGGAAGAAAATCAGAGCTGCTAGCACTGATTCGTTTAGCCAACCGGCCTTTAATTCAATGCTATCTAAAGACTTAGATCGTTCTTGTTTTCTCAATAACCTACTACTAAGATATTCCATTCCTGACGACCTCCTTAGTTCCTCAACAAATAACTCAGATCTCAGAGAATGGGTATTTAAACATGATGCTTTGCTAGATAGACACTTAATTTTAAAAACACAGTCTGCTACCTGGTTTAAATCATTTAAGAATGATCATTTTAGATCACCTTATCTGGTTAATATCGATAATCATAACCTTAGAGCAGCTTTTACATCTCTGCGCTTTGAATCAATGTCTACGGCCGTATTGGTCAGCCGCTATAGTAGAACACCCAAGGCACAGCGTTTATGTATTTGTGGCTCTTCTGCTATTGAGGATCTCTCCCATTACATTTTTGATTGCTCATTGTACTCCCAGCCTAGGTCAAAATTTTTATCTGGTATTTTATCAGTTTTAAGCTTTTACTCAGTCCCAGAGAAGATTATATTTTTGCTAGCCTATGCCAATGCCGATGTATCCAATAGAATGGCTGGAGGAAGCTGACAGATTGCTCGTAACTGTACGCCCAACCACATGCTCCTTGGATCCGTGCCCTTCCTGGCTTATTAAGGCAGGCCACGAGGGGTTTCGAGGTGCCGCAAGGGAGATTGTTAACAAGTCCCTCGTGGAGGGACGGTTCCCTGCGGTACTCAAGGAAGCGATGGTCCGCCCTCTCTTGAAGAAACCAACTCTAGACCCGACCGTTTTGGCCAACTATCGGCCGGTGTCTAATTTGCCCTATTTGGGCAAATTGATCGAGAGGCGGTGGCGGTACAGCTTCAGGGCTTTCTGGATGACGCTTCTGTCCTGGATCCACTTCAGTCCGGCTT